TCACAAGCAGGTGCTACTTGAGGGTAGACTAGCCTTACTGGGTCTCCTAGAGAACAGGTTACTGTATAAAGCCGCATTAATGAGCCTCCTGATGCCTAGCTCGCTACTCTTCCTCTGGGCCCTGGTTAAAGTGGGCCACAGAGGCAACCACGGGATGTCAGCCAAAGGGATGCTCAATTCTATCCCTGAATGCCTTAATGGGCTGATCTAGGAATCTGTAGTTACAGGCACTATAGTCCTGATAGTTTTAGGGTAATGCCTACGAGAAGATAATTAGGCTGCTTGGTCTGACAAGTTAGCCATCCCTATAAAGGGTCTGGAAATCAAACTGTGCAGCCTGAGTCCCTCAGTGTCAGAGAGAGAGAGAGAGAGAGAGATGAAGAAAGTAGTTGGAAGCATCAGATTAATTACCATCAAGTAAAAACTCTCAAATAGAAGTTCTAGAAAGCATTTGTCAAAGGTCTGATGTCGGCTACAAATTTGAAACAAGCACAGGTTTACAATTAGCTTAATTTGCACATTAGAAAAAGCAATAATATCAGTGATAAATATTTAGAAAAATGCTATAGGCAATTTTAAAGGACAATGATAAATTACATTGCACATAAACCATACAAGATGTATTCCTCTCAAAACTTTCATGACTTCCCATTCCTTCTACGACATGTTTTAACCTGGAAATACTCTATAAAACAATTGGTAAGAGCACATGAGTTTACCTCATGGCTTGGAATAACTTAGCAGTGGATTAGAGCAACTCTATACTGGATTATTTTGATATACAAATGTTAAGTTACAGAAAAACTTAGCAAATTACAGTTTTGTTCTTTTGGTAGATGTTAATTAGCTTATCTTCTTATCCCACCCATAAGGGGTGGGGGTGGGGATGACGAAAGGAAAAAAAAAGAGTTAAAAGCAGTTGCTGCAGCAGCAGCAGGGAATCAGGCATTATTGGGGTTAAGTCAGAAGAATCAAAGAGGGAGAGCAGGTTAGGTTGAGGGTGAGAATGGAGAAAGGCAAGATGGCAGATAGGGTCCTGCCACATGAAGGAAGGCAAGATGGTGGACAGGGTCCCATCAGGTGGAGGAGAAAGGCAAGATGGTGGATGGGATCCTGCCACATGGAGGAAGGCAAGATGGTGGACAGGGTCCCATCAGGTGGAGGAGAAAGGCAAGATGGTGGATGGGATCCTGCCACATGGAGGAGGGGGAGGGGAGCTGGGAAGATGGCGTCAGAGCAGGAAGTGGAGGGGGGCTTGGGAACATGGTACCTGCGCAGGAAGTGAAGGATCCGAAGGAGGAAGGTTCTGAGTGGGGGAGAGCAAACTGGGGGAAATGTAAGGTAGAGGTCAGAGAGGTCCTTGGGCAAGGATAGGGACCTTCTGTGCAGCAAGGATGTCCACACAGAGGGAAAAAGGAGGAACAAAGAGAATGATGGGGTTAGGTGGAGCTAGGTGGGGCAAGATATGGGAGTAGATAGAATAAGGGAGGGGTGGGAACATAGCAAAGAAACAGAAGGTGAAGCAAAAGTGACACTGGAATCCAGTGGCTACTCAGGAAGTGAAGGAGTCTGGAAACATGACAGAAGGACTGAGAGCATAGAAGAGGTGACCAAAGAGGAGGTGACCTTGGGGAACATAGCACAGGGACTGGAGGAGTAACGTACAAGGTGGATGGGCCAAAGGCTCCGAGAGAGACGAAAGTGCAGGTAAAGAGGCTGGCAGAGAAGGAGGTGGGGAAGAAGTGGGGGCTGGGTTGAGTCCTAAAAGTTCTGGTGGCTCGGAAAAGGTAATGGTTAGGTGAAAAGTCTAAGAGATCCTTAGGAGAGTGGGAGAGCTTAGCCTTGGCCAGGAGAATCTGAGTCGTGGAACAGGAGGAACATAGGGAAGGGCAGGAACGGAGTTTCCAAAAAGCTTCCACATAACAAACTTAAGACCATTTACCCTCGCGACGACAGAAATTACCCAATTCCGTGAGGATCTGAAAATCAAACGTGCCTTCCGCTGGCCATTTGGAGCCTTTTCCAACACGTACTGTGGCCAGGCCACGGTTGAAAAATGGACAAGGCGTTTTCTGCGTAAGTCCAGGCCCAGACCCATGGTTTTAAAATTGGCCAATAAACAGCTTAAGGGGGTTGGGGGCCATGGGCTCAGGACATTTTGTTGCCCGTCCTGTCCCGATAAAGTATCTCGCGGCTAATCTAAACACAAAGAAGGCGTCCCCGCTTTGAAATTCAGACTAGAGGGGAACCTGGTTCCCGTTAAGGAGGGCCAGTCAGTAGGGGGGACGTCTCACGCCCCTCTGAGGGCCCTGGATTGGTGGGAGCCTGTCAACGACCAGGGCGTCCCCCGTCTCGCTGAGGGCTCAGGACAGGCAGACCACGTGTACACGATTTGGGGGGTCTGCAGGAGGTTAGGGAATACTTTTCAGGACAGGAGGAGCAGGGCGGAGGGGCTTACCTCACGTCTGTCGCTTCGCAGCCGGCAAAGGCCTTGGGGCTGGCGGCTTAGAGGTGGAGAGAGGAAGGGGGGAGCTCAACCAGTTTAGGGAGCCCACGCATCCCTTCCCGGGTTCGGCACCAAATGTTAGATAATGTCCACCGACCGACCGCCTGCTTGGTGAAATAATATCGACAAGTTGTTCAGAGTTGAGATGGAAGCTTTATTGGAAAATCCGCTCCTGGGCCCCATTCGCGCAGAGGGGAAGAAAGGGGGAAGCGAAAAGGGCGTCTGAGATACGTGTCTGGGAGTTTTATACCCATCTACACATGTGGGAGGGCAAAGGGGCTGTCCATGTCCCAACTATGCAAGGAATGTCCATTCAGGTGTGCCATTGGTCAACTGGAATCCCGCCAGGTAGGTGACGTAACCGGCTCCTGTGGCCCCTCCTCTTGTGGGGGCGGGGCAGACCCGCCCCTAGCCTCCAGTGCCCTGGGGAGCCATCACCTGTGCTTGCCAGTATGCGCAACAGATTGGTCCAGGCTACCCCACATCCCATTCAGCTGTCATAAATGTCAAATGAATTTAAAACCTAACTCAACCCAACTGGCCTCACTATCCAGCCCACACTCATGCCAACTGCTGTCACTGCCTGTCTAGCAAGGTCGACCTCCAGGTGCTCATGCTCACGAGTGGGAGTTGCAGCACATCAGAGAGGTGTCCACACTTTTTCCTACTTGACCCATTCCCAGTCCTTCATCTTGCACTCTCCAGGTACTTCTGCAGTCTAGCTTGACAAGATTTGCTTCCAGGGCCAGTACTTGCCAATTCATGCTGTAGCAAAGCCCAACAAATCTATACTTACTCAGGTTTTGCACTGCATCCTGAAAAAGCAGTTCCCCAAACCCTTCTATCAGGTCTCCTCCAGCGGGAGATCTCATGCACACTGGTAGGTCTGTGGCCCAGCCTGACTTAGTCCTCCTCTTGTCATGGCAGGTACAGTGGTCTTCCCCAACTGGACCACACCCATTGCTGTTCTTGTTGTTGGGTGCTTTAGCCCAGCCATACCTGGTCCAATACAGACACAGCACTTGCGTGGTTCAGTGTGTGTTGAGACATATCCCAACTTATTCTATCCCCACCCTCGTTCTCATGAGCACCAGTGGGTGCTGGGGTTAAGTCCTATCTGCCACAGCCCAGACCCTGTCCTCATTTTATGTATAACAAAATTTCTCTTATAATCAAGTGTTGTTCAAAAACATGACCTCAATTACTCATAGGATATTGGATTTACTATACACACCAGAAACATTTTTGTAAACATGTTTTACTGAGCAGATGATCTATCCTAAATATTGCTGAGATGGGAGAGTACAATAGCTTAATTGACTAACCATGTGCCTGCAAACTCCAGCATTTGCTATTGATGGTAGTTTGTGTCCCATCCACTCTACTTCCCTTCCAGGTCCCTGCTGATTACCTGGGAAAGCAGTGGAGGATGACCCAAGACTTTGGAACCCTACACTCAAATGGGAGCTGCTGAGGTTCCTGGATCCTTGTTTCAGATCAGCTCAGCTCTGGCCAATACCTATTGGGGGAGCAGCCAGTATTGTACCGGATTTTGAGATCCCCAGAAAAACATCGAGTCAGAAGTCAATGCTAATTCATAAACGCCAGTTTATTCAAGTTAACCTAGGTCTCCCTGCTACCTCCCCCCAACCCAGAAATGCGGAATGTCCTGCTGGTTTCATGTAGACTGCCAGGCCTGGTATTCATTCAGTACCCACCCAAGCAAGTAAGGCAGAAATCACAAAAGCAGAAAACACCTAGGTTCTTCACCAGCAGATGGAAGATCGTACTCTCTGTCAATCTGCCTTTCTAAAAAGAATAAATTATGTTAAAAAGTGGTATAATTACTTTATCATATAAATACGTAAATCAGTATATAAATATTCATCTGTAGCAGCTTCATTTACTAACAGATTTCTCTCTATAAGCAATCTATGAATCTTCCTCACTAGCTATCTGATTATTCTCTTATAATACATTATCTAATACTTCTGAATAATTCTGTATTAATCCTGATCCTAGCACGTCAAAGAAAAATTGCTTTCTTGGGCTGGCTTTGAGGTGCACTGGGTCAAGCCACTGCTTATTGCATTGCCATCACATGTGTGAGTGCAAGTTCAAGTCTAGGTGCTCTACAAACAGGAAGGTAGTGGAGGAAGGTCAAGTAGGCACCACCTACATGGTAGACTCCAATGGAGTTCCTACTGCTGGTGTGGGTCTGGTCCAGATGCAGGTGTTGCAACCACTGAATCAGCAGATGAAAGAGCTCTCTGTTTCTCTGCTTCTTTCTCATCTCCTCTTCTCTCTTCCCTCTCTCTCACCTCTCTCACTGCTTAATATTCAAGTACATAAATTTGCAAAGAAAGGTGGAATGAAACAAGGGAAAGAAAGCAAGCCAGCCAAGAAAGAAAGTCTGCCACCACCCCAAGTTCTGCACACGCTGTGTTGTCTGGTTGCGTGGAGATGACTCGGGAGTGTCCCACTATCTCTATGATCTGTGCAAACGTGGCTTTCAAGAAGAATCTCGTGTGTTAGCCTTCATCTTTATCCCATATCACTCAGGCTCTTCCAAACTCCATGCTGTAACTTACATTATCTGTGTGGATCAAGCTAGAGTCAACACCTAAGGAATGAAGGCAGAAACAAGCAGAAGATAAACTGATAAGGATCTGAGATAGTAGACAGTTGGACTGTGGCCTGCAAGACCATGTGCTCAGGGCGTATTTCCTAATTATGCTAAGAGCCCTGGGGGAGATACTGAGAAGTCAGTGGGCAGGGATGAACTTCCTACTGAGTCCCACAAGGTCTCATTCTCCTTGGCTCCTGGCCAGTATAAAAAGGGACAGCCCAGAGGGTGGGAATGGACTTGGGGAATTCACTTTCCCATTCTCCTACCTCACCCATCTGCCTCCCACTTCCCTCACAATGCTGCCCTCAATACCAGTTGTGCTTCAAGGGTCCACTTACAGGCCAAAGCAGAACTAAGCCAATGAGGAGCAGGAGGGTCGAGAGCCTGGGCCTGAGGACTGTCACTTTAGAGCGTGATGCTTCTAGGGTCATGGCCGGTGGTGCTGAAACGCAAGCAAAACAGTTATGGCCAATATACAGATTCCTGATTCCAGAAAGCTTCCACTTTCTGCTGTCGGGCAATGTGGCCAGGCATACAACTGCCTCCCATTCCATGCTGGTCACTGTGACAGGCTCTCAGGTAGCAGGGAGGGAGGATATGTCCTACCCCCAGGGAACGATCTGCCAGATAGGGGAGCCAGGATGTCCAGATAGATGATACTCTCGCTGTCCAAGACGAGAAGAGGGACCAGGTGGTGGGTGAGATGGGTCACAGCAGTCTAGATTGGTTCTGCAGGATCCAAGAGAGAGTGCAGGCAAAACAGGAAGAGCGTGATTCTAGGAAGAGAGCACAGGGAAGGAGGTCTAGACACAAGGACTGCCTCAGCTAGAAGGCTGGAGAAGAGGCAGGGAGAGTGGAGTAAAATCCATGCCCTGAGGAAGAGACAATGCAGAGGAAAAGCAGAGGTGGGAGGAGATGCAGGGAGGACACTGGGCTGGACTCTGCTGTTGTTCTGGGGAGAAAGCTCCAGGCCGGATCACTCTCAGACACACATTCACATATGCACACACAAGCACAACACACTCACACATGCACACTCACACCCAGTCATGCACATAAAACCCAGACTCATAACACACACACACACACACACACACACACACACATACACAGAATCCACACTCACACATACACTCCTACCCACACATACACACAGCAGCCACATTCATATCACACACGTGTGCACACATACACACACTTGTACACACAATTGTTCCCAAAGCTCTTGCTCTTACCTGTGGTCTCCAACATTTCCTTCCTGTTCAGCAAGAAGTTCTCAAGCCAGCTCTGACAATCTCCCATTGACACTTTGCAGAAAAATTCCACAGTGTCCCTGTCACTCTCCCATGTCTTCAACCTTCTGGCTCCAGGATGAAGCTTTTTCCATTCTTTGTCGTGCGACTCAAGCAGGACAGATTTCTGTCCACCGATGCTGAACACCCAGGAACCATTTTTGCGGCCAGTGGCATCACGCTCACAGCACATCCTTGCCTGCAGGCTGAGGGCATCTGTCCTCATGGGGAAGAGATCAGCCAAGGTTAGTCTGGACAAGCCCTTGTCCACATCTGCTATCCTCTGCCCCCATTCCCTCCTTTGCTCCTGGCCCTGACTGTCCTCCCGGTTCTGCCCCACTCTACACCTCTAAAGGAAGACCACAGTCCAGTTCTGCCCATGAGAATCCTGAGTCCCTGGTTTCACAACACCCTGGTCTTTGCCACTCACCCCTGCTTGTGTAATCTGCCAGGTTCATCTCAGACAGCTGTTGTATGAGGGTGTCTGCCACATCTTTGAATATTTCCTTCATTTCTTTTTCTTCATTGTCAGGGATAAGTGTTTCATTCCCAGGGAGAATAATACATTTGGTCTTATCACAGGCACCAGTTAGAAAGATGTTCCCATCTATAAGACCTTGGACATCACACACTGGTTGGCCAGGTCGGGCTGTGGTGTTGACAGTGAAGTAATGGCAAAGAGAATGAGCATCTGTGAAGGAAAAAATGCAAGCAACACTGATGACAAGAAAAACGACTCACAGACATTCCTTCCTCCAGTTCTAGGACACTAAGGAGCCCATGAAGGGTTGGGAACCAGGGAGATCACCTCCCGGCCATGGCACCTGCATCCCTGACTCCTGACTTCCTCACTCTTGTGTTCCTTGTAATTCATTCTGGTTCTATGAGGTACACAGGATCACCTGGAACCAGGAAGCTGCAGACAGAAGCTTTGTGAAAGCATACACATTGTGCACGTTCACACTCCATCTGAACAGCAAGCCTGAAAGAGACCACGTGGATGAAAGCTGACAGCACAGGGGTGTCCTGGAAAGACCCTTTGGCAGCCTCTTTCTCCTGGGAGCATTCGGCAGAGCAGACTCCAAGATGCAGAGCAAAGGCAAAGACAGGTGTGGATCAGAGAATGAGAATTCCAGAAACAAGGTTCCACGGTATGTCAGGGGCAGTGGGAGATCAGAGCAGATCAGTCAGCCGGGAAGCTTTCTAGAGGCAAGAGTGACAAGAGACAGACTCACACAGGCACCTACATGGAACCCCAAAGGGAAGTACAGTACACTCCAGGAAGAGGACGTACATCAGGAAACAAGAAAGACACCAGATAAATGAACTAAGTGTAGATCTGAAGGAAGTAGCAAAACAAGAGCAAAACAACCCCCAAAACAACAGAAAACAAGAAAGGAAGGAAAGGAGGAAAGGAGGGAGAAAAGGTGCGGGGGGGGGGGGAGAGGGAGGAAGGAAAGAGCAGCTATGCTGGCACACTGGAATATTTAAAACTAATTGGGCATTAACCAGGCCCAGAATACCCACCAGCTTCTGGCTGCTTTGTTCCCAGCACTGCAGCACTTCATTATTGCAAGGCAACCTAGTTCACTGCCTTGATCTGGAGGGCTGTTTTCTGTCTGATACAGGTCCCTGATAGTACGCCTGGGAAGACAGCAGCAGATGGTCCAACTGCTAGGGCATGTACACCCATGGACCAGATCCAGAAGAAGCTCCCAGCTCCTGCCTTTTGACTAGCACAGCCCCAGCCATGTGACCACTTGTGGAATGAACTAACTAATGGAGGACAAACTCTCTCTCTTACTCACTCTTTCTCTCTCTTTTTCTCTCTTGCTTGCTTCCTCTCTTGCTCTTCCCCCTCCTTCTCTTCATCCCTCCCCCTCCTTCTCTCTCCCTTCCAAGTGTAATTCTGATTTTTCAAAAAAATAAACCTAAAAAAACCTGTCAACCCAGAATGCTGTTTCAGCAAAGTTCTCATTTATGAATGTACACAAAATACCTTCCAAAACAAACAAAAATTGAAATAACCTGTCACCATTCACCAGCTTTGCTTTACACATGATACTTAAGGCCATGTTACACACAGAAATAGAATAATAGTCATCATAACGACACAGAGTGAAGGCACAATATCCACTCAAAGTACAAAGGCAATCCAAAACAAATAATGTGAATATTTATGGGAAAGTGGCAGGATCAAGTTGATATTTATCAGTAATAACTTTGAAGGTATGCTCACTTCGGCAGCACGTATACTAAGAACTGGAACTCTGAAGGGAAGTGGATCTCATGATCCAATACAAAGACACAGACTGG